TATGTATTCTTAGAAAAGTAAAAAAAACAAACAAACAAAAAAACACATAACTCTTCCGTCCATAAATATTCCTTCAGGTAATAACATCAGAAGTCACAATATTTAAAAAAAAAAAAAGTTGAGGCTGGGCGCGGTGTCTCAAGCCTGTAATCCCAGCACTTTGGGAGGCCAAGGCGGGTGGATCACAAGGTCAAGAGATCAAGACCATCCTGGTCAACATGGTAAAACCCCGTGTCTCCTGAAAATAGAAAAAAAAAATTAGCTGGGCATGGTGGTGCGTGCCTGTAATCCCAGCTACTCAGGAGGCTGAGGCAGGAGAATTACCTGAACCCGGGAGGCGGAGGTTGCAGTGAGCCGAGATCATGCCATTGCACTCCAGCCTGGGTAACAAGAGTGAAACTCTGTCTCAAAAAAAAAAAAAAAAAAAGTGGATCGAGTTTTTTGTTTGTTTGTTTTGGCACACATCTATCTATTCATTGTACCAACCATATGATGCTTAATTCAATCTTGTATCCAGTGGCGAGTCTAGACTAAAAATTTGTGGATAGTAGGGACCATGACTACTGTATCTATTTTTTGAATAATGATATGTAATGGAAGCAATTAGTTTATTTGTCTGAGTCAGCAGACCTCCTCTTTGTCTTTCACCCAAGTACCAGAAAACTTCAGAAACTCTCATCTGGGTACCAACCAAAGTTATCTCTTGTATCAGGGAGAAGACAACACAGGATAACTGCTTTCTCTTACACTGATACAGAAGCAGAATTAATCATTCTTGTCAGCCTGACACAGTTCTGCCCTGGACATCCTCAAATGTCTGCAAGACACCTAGCTGCTTGCGAGAGGATTTCCAGTGACCCAGGGCTGATGGTCAAATGATAACCCAGGCTGGAGAAACTCAGGCTGATTCTAAATAGAAAATGGAACTGCCTTGGTGGAGCTCCAGAAGCTGGATTCTTATCCTGATTTGCTAGCTTTTAGGTAAGAAGAAGGACAAGAATATTCTATTCCAATATAATAATTTAAAGGTAGGTATAGTTGTGGTCATGGCCCTGAATACTTTATGGCCTTGATATCTCACTCTTAAGATGTTTGTTAGGCCGGGCGCGATGGCTCAAGCCTATAATCCCAGCACTTTGGGAGGCCGAGGCGGGTGGATCACTAGGTCAAGAGAGATCATCCTGGTCAAAAAGGTAAAACCCCATCTCTACTAAAAATACAAAAAATTAGCTGGGCATGGTGGTGCATGCCTGTAATACCAGCTACTCAGGAGGCTGAGGCAGGAGAATTGCCTGCACCCAGGAGGTGGAGGTTGCAGTGAGCCGAGATCGCGCCATTGCACTCCAGCCTGGGTAACAAGAGCGAAACTCCCAACTCAAAAAAAAAAAAAAAAAAAAAAAAGGCCTGGTGCGGTGGCTCAAGCCTGTAATCCCAGCACTTTGGGAGGCCGAGGCGGGTGGATCACGAGGTCAAGAGATTGAGACCATCCTGGTCAACATGGTGAAACCCCGTCTCTACTAAAAACACAAAAAACTAGCTGGGCATGGTGGCGCGTGCCTGTAATCCCAGCTACTCAGGAGGCTGAGGCAGGAGAATTGCCTGAACCCAGGAGGCGGAGGTTGCGGTGAGCCGAGATCGCGCCATTGCACTCCAGCCTGGGTAACAAGAGCGAAACTCCGTCACAAAAAAAAAAAAAAAATGCCGGGCGCGGTGGCTCAAGCCTGTAATCCCAGCACTTTGGGAGGCCGAGGCGGGTGGATCATGAGGTCAAGAGATCGAGACCATCCTGGTCAACATGGTGAAACCCCGTCTCTACTAAAAATACAAAAAATTAGCTGGGCATGGTGGCGTGTGCCTGTAATCCCAGCTACTCAGGAGGCTGAGGCAGGAAAATTGCCTGAACCCAGGAAGCGGAGGTTGCAGTGAGCCGAGATCTCGCCATTGCACACCAGCCTGGGTAACAAGAGCGAAACTCTGCCTCAAAAAAAAAAAAAAAAAAAAAAAAAAAAAAAATGCTTGTTTACACTTACAGATTGTCATCAGCTTCTATTTACAACCTGGAACCTCTCACATAACTGTAGCAGTCACTACACAAGATCTGAAAAGCTTAAAGAGCCACATTCTCAAAGGGGGGCTTTAAAATTTCTGTGTTGACAGCCTGGCACCATTGCTCACACCTGTAATCCCAGCACTCTGGAGGCTGAGGTGGGTCAGCTATCTGATCTTTGACAACGCTGATGTAAGGAATGTGAAAAGAACTCCCTATTTAAGAAATGGTGCTGGAACAACTAGTTAGAACTATGTAGAAGATTAAAACTGGTCCCCTTCCTTATACCATATGTAAAAATCAACTCAAGATGAATTAAAGACTTAAATGCAAAACTTATGATTAAAAAAAAAAAACCTGGAAGATAAATAACCTAGAAACTACCATACTAGGCATAGAAACTAGCAAAGATTTCAAGATGAAGATACCAAAAGCAACTGCAACAAAAGCAAAAATTGACAAATGGAACCGAATTAAACTTAAGAGCTCTTGCACAGAAAAGGAAAATATTAACACACTAAACAGACAATCAACAAAATTTTCTTTTAAAGTTGCCAATTATTGGGCCGGGCACGGTGGCTCAAGCCTGTAATCCCAGCACTTTGGGAGGCCGAGGCGGGTGGATCACAAGGTCGAGAGATCGAGACCATCCTGGTCAACATGGTGAAACCCCGTCTCTACTAAAGATACAAAAAATTAGCCGGGCATGGTGGCACGTGCCTGTAATCCCAGCTACTCAGGAGGCTGTGGCAGGAGAATTGCTTGAACCCAGGAGGCGGAGGTTGCGGTGAGCCGAGATCGCGCCATTGCACCCTGGCCTGGGTAACAAGAGCAAAACTCCGTCTCAAAAAAAAAAAAAAAAAAAGTTGCCAACTATTTCTTACAGATTTAATATCCAGAATTAAGACACTTAAATAACTTTACAAGAAAACAACATACCACCATATTTTAAAAGTAGGCTAAAAACACATGAACAGATGTTCTTGAAAACAGAAATATGTAGCTAGCAAAAATATTTTTTAAAATTCTCATCACATTAGAGAAACTCGAAAGCCGGGCACAGTGGCTCAAGCCTGTAATCCCAGCACTTTGAGCGGCCGAGGCGGGTGGATCACGAGGTCAAGAGATCACGAGGTCAAGAGATCGAGACCATCCCGCTCAAAATGAAACCCCGTCTCTACTAAAAATACAAAACATTAGCTGGGCATGGTGGCACGTGCCTGTAATCCCAGCTAATCAGGAGGCTGAGGCAGGAGAATTGCCTGAACCCAGGAGGCGGAGGTTGTGGTGAGCCGAGATTGCGCCATTGCACTCCAGCCTGGGTAACAAGAGTGAAACTCCGTCTAAAAAAAAAAGAGAAACACAAACAAAACAAAACAAAACAAAAAACTACAAGGAGATACCATCTCACACCAGTCAGAATGGCTATTGTTAAATAGTGAAGTATCCTAGTCACGGCACCAGAAAGAAAAAAAGTGAGTAACAGGTCAGGCATGGTGGCTTATGCCTGTAATCCCAGCACTCTGAGAGGCTGAGGCAGGTAGATCACATGGTCAGCAGTTCAAGACGACCCTGATCTAAAACGGTGAAACCCCCGTCTCTACTAAAAAAAAAAATAAATAAAAATTAGCCAGGTGCAGTGGCTCATGCCTGTAGTCCCAACTACTTGGGAAGCTATTGGGAAAAACAGCAGAGGAGAAAGGACTTACAGAGTGCCTACGTAAATTGGTTATGAGTAACACATAAGGAACAACAAACTTCGGAAGACTGCAGGAGGCCTCTGAGGAGGAAGGCCTCTCCATGCCTCATGTTCCAGTGCAGGGTGACCTCAGCTCTGTTACCATAAACATTGTGCTCAAGGACGTAAAACCCCTTCGTAGCACTATGATGTAGCCAGACTTGTAGGCTCCTTGTAAGGCCAGCATTCCATCAGCTGTACATAGATAATAAGCTAAAGATAACCACATGTTCTTTTTTTGTGAAACTCCCAAACCGCCACTATTAACAGTCCTTAGAATGACACACCAGTTCCGGCTCACTGATACACTTTTGGCTCACTGATTCACTCCACCATCACCCCAACCCTACCCTATAGATCATAGTGATTGTAATCAATAAATGGTGTGGATGATTAGAGCTCGGGACCTTCGCTGTTTCCTCTAGGGTAATAAAGTGCTGTCCCCCTGGTCCCACTTTTTCTCTTAATCTTTTTCTCATTCCTTCATCACCACCTAACTTGGGGTACCCAGGGGTGATGTAGGGCTAGCTTTCTATAGAAAGACCAGACAGAAAAATTGCCTGAACACGGGAGGCCGAGATTGCAGTGAGCCGAGATCGTGCCACTGCACTCCAGCCTAGGCGAAAGAGCAAGACTAGGTCTCAAAAAAATAAACAACAAAAGAACCCACGTAACTGTATCTAACCAATTACTAAATTTGGTTTTCTTCATCATGCATTTTATAAAAGACTTGCCTTCAAGCCTCTCTTATAGACCACAAACTACAAACCATAGCTGGGTGCTCTACAATTCTAGAACCACTCTTTGATGAAATTCTTTAATATCTTTGCAGAGACTCCCACATATTTTTAATAGGAGAAAATACGAACTGGGAACCCCATGGAACAACGCTGTTCCCATGCATGCACCCGCAGACCAAGTCAGGATTCTCCCCACGACCCTCCCGTGGTCCCTGCACAATCTGGAAGAGAAGCCGCGCTTCGGGTGCAAAGCTGCCCAGAAAGTGCTTCAGGCCAGGGCACACTCAGGGCGCAGGGAAAAGACAGGACATCCGGGGCCGGCTGTTGGCGCAGCCACCACCTTATGGCTGAAGGGGACTGAGGCTGAGCTGGGCAAGGAAAACTCAGGCACAGACTGTGGAGCTTACTGTGGGAAGGCCTGAGTCCCGCCACAACCACTTCCCCTCTCTCGAAATGTAACACCCAGCACTCTCACCATTTCTAGGCTTCCAGGGGATCCCGGCATCTTAGCTGTGGATCTCCCAAAGCTTGCAGGTCACGGGGCCACAGAGGCTGGGTTTCTAGGAGCGGAGAACCAAAGGAGTGAAGACGGGACCTGGAGTTCCGACTGCTGTGAGAGACAAAGGGCCCGCCACATCCCGGAAGCTGTGCTGTTCTCTCCAGCTGCGTGCCTGATTGGACGGTTCACAGCCCAGCGTCGCTGATTGGATAACGTTTAAAACCCCACCCTCTCAGGCCCTGAGTGACAGAAGTTGTGATTAGATGCTGGACTGAGGAGTGACAGCCTAGGCTGCTGTCTGTTCAGTCAGGGCTTCCTCCCTGAACTGAGCTAGGCCCACCACAGAGAGTATTTGCATTCAACCCTGTGCATAAAGTAATATGCATTTGTAAATAATATATCATATGGCTGTACATAAATGAAAAGAATATAATAACAAATGTTTTAAATTTTCAGCTTTTTTTTTTTTCCATGGCCGGGCACCATGGCTCACACCTGTAATCCCAGCACTTGGGGAGGCAGGGGCAGGTGGATCATGAGGTCAGCATGGCCAAGGTGGTGAAACCCCATCTCTACTAAAAAATACGAAAATTAGCCGGGCATGGTGGCATATACCTGTAATCCCAGCTACTCAGGAGGCTGAGGCAGAAAATTGCTTGAACCCGGGAGTAGGAAGTTACCTTGAGAAACCCAAAGTCCAGGGAGGAAATTCTGCAAGGCTGAGCAGGAACAATGGTTGCAGATTGCATGTTGCAGGGGAAGAGCAATTAGTTGAGGCAGGAAAAAGTTGTTTCACTTCTTTCTATAGCTACATGATTACTTATGGTAATCTCAGACTTTCTGGCTTCTGGGGACCATCCGAAGGTGTACGTGTGGGTCTCCAACGTTATAATGGCCAGGCTTGGACTCGGAGGCCTAACATTGGCTTATGGTTCTTTGAACAGGCAGCATGAGATTTCAAAAAGGAGGTAATCCTCTGAGATAAAATATGAGCTACATATGAATTTTGAATTTTCTAGTAGTCAAACGTTAAAAAGAAACAAGGGGACAGGTGCGGTGGCTCAGGCCTGCAGTCACAGCACTGTTGAAGTTCTAGGCCGGTGGATCACGAGGTCAGGAGTTTGAGACCAGCCTGGCTAACATGGTGAAACCTCGTCTCTACTAAATATACGAAAGTTACCCGGACACTGTGGCGGGCGTCTGTAATCCCAGCTGCTCAGGAGGCTTGAGGCGGGAGAATTGCTTAAACCCGGGAGGCAGATATTGCAGTGAGCAGAGGTCGTACAGCTATACTCCAGCCTGGGCGAACGACTCCCTCTCAAAGAAAAAAAGAAAGAAAGAAAGAAAGAAAGAAAACAGGGGGCCAGCACCGCGGCTAACGCCTGTAATCCCAGGACTTTGGGCAACTGAGGTGGGCGGATCAAGAGGTCAAGAGATGGGCTGGGCGCGGTAGCTCACGCCTGTAATCCCAGCACTTTGGGAGGCCGAGGCGGGTGGATCACAAGGTCAAGAGATCGAGACCATCCTGGTCAACATGGTGAAACCCCGTCTCTACTAAAAATACAAAAAATTAGCTGGGCATGGTGGCGCGTGCCTGTAATCCCAGCTACTCAGGAGGCTGAGGCAGGAGAATTGCCTGAACCCAGGAGGCGGAGGTTGCGGTGAGCCGAGATCGCGCCATTGCACTCCAGCCTGGGTAACAAGAGCGAAACTCCGACTCAAAAAAAAAAAAAAAAAAAAAAAAAAAAAAAAAAAAAGCCGGGCGCGGTGGCCCAAGCCTGTAATCTCAGCACTTTGGGAGGCTGAGACGGGTGGATCACGAGGTCGAGAGATCGAGACCATCCTGGTCAACATGGTGAAACCCCGTCTCTACTAAAAATACAAAAAGTCAGCTGGGCATGGTGGCGCATGCCTGTAATCCCAGCTACTCAGGAGGCTGAGGTAGGAGAATTGCCTGAACCCAGGAGGCGGAGGTTGCGGTGAGCTGAGATCGCGCCATTGCACTCCAGCCTGGGTAACAAGAGCGAAACTCCGTCTCAAAAAAAAAAAAAAAAAAAAAGAGGAAAATAATTGCTTTGCTGGATTTTCAGTGCATGCAAATCACAATCACCATTACAAAAGATCAAGTTAATTACAGATTATTCAGACATGTAACACACATCTAAATATTAAATTGACACCACAATAAAATATTTAAATCTGTGAAAAGACACTAGAACATATGGTCAATAATACCATGAGCTGCCGCAGGTTTTGGTTTTTTTTTTATTTGAGATGGAGTTTCGCTCTTGTTACCCAGACTGGAGTGCAATGGCGCGATCTCGGCTCATTGCAACCTCCGCCTCCTGAGTTCAGGCAATTCTCCTGCCTCAGCCTCCCGAGTAGCTGGGATTACAGGCACGCACCACCATGCCCAGCTAATTTTTTGTATTTTTAGTAGAGAAGGGGTTTCACCATGTTGACCAGGATAGTCTCGATCTCTTGACCTCGTGATCCACCCGCCTCGGCTTCCCAAAGTGCTGGGATTACAGGCTTGAGCCACCGCGCCCGGCCTTTTTTTTTTTTTTTTTTTTTTTTTTTTTGAGACGGAGTTTCACTCTTTTTTTTTTTTTTTTTTTGAGACGGAGTTTCGCTCTTGTTACCCAGGCTGGAGTGCAATGGCGCGATCTCGGCTCACCGCAACCTCTGCCTCCTGGGTTCAGGCAATTCTCCTGCCTCAGCCTCCTGAGTAGCTGGGATTACAGGCACGTGCCACCATGCCCAGCTAATTTTTTGTATTTTTAGTAGCGATGGGGTTTCACCATGTTGACCAGGATGGTCTCGATCTCTTGACTTTGTGATCCACCCGCCTCGGCCTCCCAAAGTGCTGGGATTACAGGCTTGAGCCACCACGCCCGGCCAGAGTTTCACTCTTGTTACCCAGGCTGGAGTGCAATGGCACGATCTCGGCTCACCGCAACCTCTACCTCCTGGGTTCAGACAATTCACCTGCCTCAGCCTCCTGAGTAGCTGGGATTATAGGCACACACCACCATGCCCAGCTAATTTTTTTTTTTTTTTTTGTATTTTTAGTAGAGACGAGGTTTCACCATGTTGACCAGGATGGTCTCGATCTCTCGACCTCGTGATCCACCTGCCTCGGCCTCCCAAAGTGCTGGGATTACAGGCTTGAGCCACCGCACCCGGCTGCCGCAGGTTTTTAATAGATAATGCAAATGACAATCAGTTCTTTATGCCACCAGAAGAGGAAAAACTGGTACTGGTGAATCTCATTCATATCAAGGAAGAAAAAAATGCACAATTCAATATGTAAAAAAGATTGTTTATACCAGATACATACATCATAATCATGGTTATTTGATATGAATATTAAGTATTCTGTATTAGAGTTTGAAAAATATAATTCTGTTGCTTATGAGTGATTAGCAAAAGCCCAACTATTCAAACAGCCATAATTTTTTTTTTTTTTTTTTAGTAAATTATGTATATTTTTAAAAAGTTGAGGGCTGGGCGCGGTGGCTCAAACCTGTAATCCCAGCACTTTGGGAGGCCAAGGTGGGTGGATCACGAGGTCAACAGATAGAGACCATCCTGGTCAATATGGTGAAACCTCGTGTCTACTCAAAATACAAAAAATTAGCTGGGCGTGGTGGCGCGTGACTGTAATCCCAGCTACTCAGGAGGCTGAGTGAGGCAGCAGAATTGCCTGAACCCACGAGGCGGAGGTTGCTGTGAGCCGAGAACACGCCATTGCACTCCAGCCTGGGTAACAAGAGCAAAACTCCATCTCAAATAATAATAATAATAATAATAATTTGTAGGCTGCTCTAGGTAGCATAGACATTTTATATTCATTCTCCAAAGCCATGAACATAGAATGCTTACTTATTTGAATTGTCTCTCATTAACTTTCAGTAATGTTTTCTAGTTCTTGTAGAGATATTTTACCTTCCTGGTTTGTGTTTTGTTGTTGTTGTTCTTGTTTGAGATGGAGTCTTGCTCTGTCATCCAGGCTGGAGTGCAATGGTGTGGTCTTGGCTCACTGCAACCTCCATCTCCCGGGTTCAAGTGATTCTCCCGCCTCTCCTGCCTCAGCTGCCCAATTAGCTGGGACTACACTCACGTGCCATCACTCCTGGCTAGTTTTTGATATTTTTAGTAGAGTTGGGGTTTCACCACGTTGGTCAGGCTGGTCTCAAACTCCTGACCTCGAGATCCATACTCCTTGATCTCCCGAAGTGCTGGGATTATAGGTGTGAGCCACCGTGCCCAGCCTACCTCCCTGGTTTAATGTATTTCTAGGTATATTATATTTTGTTTATGGCTCTTGTAAAGAAAACTAGTTGATTTTATTCTCAGCTGTGATGTTATTGGTGTAAGGAAATGCTACTCATTGGTGTATATCAATTTTGTATTCTGAGACTTTGCTGACGTCATTTTTTTTTTTTTTTTTTAATACGGACTTTCACTCTTGTTACGCAGGTTGGAGTGCAATGGCACCATCTCGGCTCACCGCAACCTCCACCTCCTGGCTTCAGGCAATTCTCCTGCCTCAGCCTCCTGAGTAGCTGGGATTACAGGCACGCGCCACCATGCCCAGCTAATTTTTTGTATTTTTAGTGGAGACGGGGTTTCACCATGTTGACCAGGATGGTCTCAATGACCTCGTGATCCACCTGCCTCAGCCTCCCAAAGTGCTCGATTACAGGCTTGAGCCACCGTACCTGGCCCAAAGTCATTTTTAAGCTTAGCAGTCTTTTGGTAATTTTTTTTTTTTTCCCAAGATGAGATTTCACCATGATGGCCAGGCAGGTCTTGAACTCCTGATCTCAGGTGATCCACCCACCTTAGCCTCCCAAAATGCTAGGATTACAAGCATGAGCCACTGCGTCCGGCCGGTAAAATCTTTAGTTTTCTAGGTAGAGAATTATATCATGAGTGAAGATAATTTCATTTCTTCTTTTCCTATTTGAATACCATTTATTTCTTTATTAGATTGCTCTGCCTAGGACTTCCAGAACTATGTACAGTAGGATTGTTTAGAGTAGATAATCTTATTTTTATCCTACTGAGAAATGCATGCTGCTTTTGCCTGTTCAGTATGTTAACGGAGGATTTGTCGTACAT